CAGATAAAGAAAATGATTTTTTAACTAGAGATGTTCCACCACAGATTCAGCTGCATTGTAAGGTAGCGAGTTCTCTGTCACTAGAGGTATGCATTAAAAACTGACCATTGCTTGGGAGGTGTTGCAGAAGGGACTTAAGCTGTGGCATCTACAGACTCATTCAACTCTGAAAGATTTAATTATTGTTTAATTTCTTCATGCACCTCCCCTCCCACCAACCTTTCAGGATAGGACATCTAGGTAGTAAAATGTGATTATGAATTTCCTAAAGTCAAAAGAAAAAATACCCTTTCTGCTTTTTGTGATGTGACATTATGTTATTTTCCCAATTCCCGTGCTCTCAGACCTGTTGGGTTTGGTCAGACTCAGTTCATCTTGCACAATGGCAGCAAAAATATCTATATACTTGTAATGACCTTTTGAGTCCCATCAGTGGGTGAGGAGGGTTTGGAAAGAAGTTAGTGAGAAGTGAGGTCACGTTGGGGAAATTTTAGATAAAGCCTGAAATTCTGAATTCACAGGAATGTGGGAGAAAATTATAGAGAAGGACATGATGATTCATGGCACCGGGTCACTCCCTGCAGGGGGCATGATTCCCAAATGGGCATGAGCGTGGGTGAGCAGTGGACGGAGAAAGTGTTTGGGAAATTGGCATAATGAATGCATTGTTGGTGAGTTCCAGCAATAGGAGGGGCAGTATAAAAACCCGGCAGGGGAGTACAGGCCATAAAGCAATGGTGTCTGTCTTAGTTGGCTCAGGTTGCCATAACAAAATACCACAGACTGGGTGGCTTAAACAACAGAAATTTATTTTCTTATAGTTCTAGAAGGTAGAAGTCCAAAATCAAGGTGCCTTCTGTGTTGGCTTCAGGTGAGGCCTCTCTTTCTGGCTTGTAGGCAGCTGCCTTCTTCCTATGTCCTCATGTATGGCTTCTTTACTCTGTATGTACAGGGGGAGAGAGAGAGATTTCTGGTGTCTCTCTTATAAGGACACCAATCCTATCAGATTGGGGCCCAACCCTTATGACCTCATTTAACTTTATTATCTCCCTAAAGCCCCTGTCTCCAAATACCATCACATTGAGTGTTTGGGCTTTAACATAAAAATTTTGCAGAGAGGACACAATTCTGTCTATAACAGTGTCCACTGTGGCTCTTGCTAATTGTCTTTGAGGATGAAGTAATTATCCTCTTGGGAGGAGAAAAGAGGGAAGGGACATTGATTGAGAATCAGCTGTGTCAGTCATGACTGGTTCATAATTTCATTTAACTCCTGCACCAACCCTGCCATGAGAGAGGACAGAGGCTCACAGATGTTCTGATCACCCAGATAGTAAGAGGTCAGAAAGCATTCAAACTTGAGTTGTATAGCTCATGCTGTCTTACACCTGAGGAAACGTAACCTTGAAACATTGCTATATTCCTAAGACTGTTTTTTTAAGCCTGGAGCTGTCAGAAAGACCACTTGACAGGCCCTTTAGGGCAGGCGTCCCCAAACTACGGCCCGTGGGCCGCATGTGGCCCCCTGAGGCCATTTATCTGGCCCCCTGCTGCACTTTAGGAAGGGGCACCTCTTTTCACTGGTGGTCAGTGAGAGGAGCACAGTATGTGACGGCCCTCCAGTGGTCTGAGGGACAGTGAACTGGCCCCCTGTGTAAAAAGTTTGGGGATGCCTGCTTTAGGGTGTCCAGGAGAGTCTCTGAATAGGTCAGTGTTATTATCAGAGTTGTGCTTTGGGGAGGTAGCTGGCCATGTGGGTGGGTGGGTAGGTGATTGATGGGAGGGAGAGAATAGAGATCCTCTAGCAGCCCGTTACTTGGTCCTCTTGAGAGATAGTGACAGGCAGCACAAGAGACATCTAGAAAGAGCTGGGTGCCCATAATGTTGTGAAGGCAGAGTCAAAGTTTTGGTAAATGATTAAGTGTAGGTCATGGGGTAAAAAGAGGGAGTCCAGAATGAGACCAAGGTGGTCCCCTTAATAGAAATGAATAGAACCTGAGCTCAGGACATTCTGATATCCTGAGTTCTCCTGGCCTCATTCCATTCTCTTTTCAGATAGTGAGGAGGGACCTCAGGACAGCTTGACACTGCTTAAAGTACAATGTCCCTCTTTGGGAGATATATTGGAGAGGATTTCTTGAACTTATGACTCATATAATGCAGTTAATCATTTCTGGTAATTATGTACTTAATAGTACAGCATTAGGCTTAATTATTTATCAAGCAAGAGGTGGTAAGTGAAAAGATAGTGGGTCAGGGCAGGTAGACCACTTGCAGAAGGAAACTTTTGATTAAAAGTGGACTGTTTGGCTGGGCATGGTGGCTCACACCTGTAATCCCAGCATTTTGGGAGGCTGAGGCAGATGGATTGCTTGAGCCCAGGAGTTCAAGACCAGCCTGGGCAATATGGTGAACTCCCATCTCTACAAAAAATACAAAAATCGGTCAGGTGTGGTGGCGCACAGCTATAGTCCCAGCTACTTGGGAGGCTGAGGCTGGAGGATCACTTGAGCCTGACAGGTAGAGGTTGCAGTGAGCCAAGTTGTGCCAATGCACTCCACCCTGAGTCTCAGAAAAAAAAAAAAAAAGGACTGTTATCCCCATCAAGCTTTGAGCAGAAGGTGGTAGATGTTTCTAAACAACCTGCCTTCCCCTTGCTTCCGCATCTTAATGAATGGCACCCACCTAGTTACTCAAGTACCAAATCTAGGAGTTACCTTTGATTATTCTGTCCCACATTTTCTACAGCTAACCTATCAACAGAGCCTGTCAACTTTGTTTCTAAAACATACTCCCAATCTCTATACTTGCCTTGGTCTCAACTCCTGTCACCCTAGTCCAGGTCACTGTCCTCTCTTACCTAAGCCGGAGATAGCCTCTATTTTCTCCCTTGTCCCACTCTACACACAACTTAAAGCAATTAAAAAAAAGCAAATTAGATCCTGTCCTTCTCCTGCTTAAAACCCTCCAGTGGTATCCCATCTCCCTTAGAATAAAACTCACTTTTTTTTTTTTTTGAGTCAGGGTCTCACTCTGTCACTCCAGCTGGAGCGCAGTGATACAATCATAGCTCACTGAAGCCTCCAAGTCCTGGGCTCAATTGATTCTCCCTCCTCAGCCTCCTGAGTAGCTAGTACTACAGGCATGCACTACCATGCCCAGCTGAGTTTTTAAATTTTTTTGTAGCGGCAGAGTCTCACCATGCTGCCCAGGCTGGTCTCCAACTCCTGGTCTCAAGCAATCCTCCTACTTCAGCCTCCTAAACTACTGGGATTAGAAGCATGAGCCACTGCACCCAGCGTAAATGACTCTGTTTAAAAATATTAAGATCACAAATCATTATTATATATCAACCTTGTTTTTGCTTCTCAACATGCATACATTTCCCACTTGTGGAGTGTCAGGGGGAGGGGGTGTCTTTGCTTAGTTGGAATGCTTTTTCTGTGGTCTCTGAATGATTAACTTTTTGTCATTCAGATCTCAGCTTAAAGATCTGAATTATAATAATAATTCTTTAATATTAGAGAAAGTACACAAAGTGATATTCTCAGACTCTTCAATCTAATCACTCCATCACACCCTCTATTCTCGTCGTAGCGCTTACCACTCTCTGATCATTGTTTTTGTTGTTTATTTATTTATGTTTACTGTGTCTGAATATAAGCTTCTTGAGAGTAGGGATTTTGTCTGTATATTTCACAGCTGTTATTAGTGCTTGACATGTGTAGTAGTTGCTAAGTTAATATTTGTTGAGCAAATGAATGCACCTGCACCAACCACTGTCTCCTCATTGTCATTCTGAGACCTTCTTCTGGCTAGGCATTCAGAAATCTTTCTCTCCCCTGACTTAATATTTGGCACTAAGCTGCTTCTACTGGGTATAGGGGCTGGTATAGTTAGAACGGTTTCTTGGCATCATCTGTCTTTTGGGAAGTAAGCATTTTGTTCCAGGTTTGGACCATCTTTGGAACATTAGATAAATAACTACTAACCTCTCCCTCTCTGCTTAGAAAGAATGGGAATAATTTCACTTGTTTGGTTCTTATCAAATGCTGCTATACCTTCTCCTCTTGGACATAGAAGGACTTCAGAACTTTCTGGAGTTCTTTTTGACCTCAAATGCTATGGAGTTGCTGACACAGTATTATGATTGGTCAGTACAAGAACCCTCTCTTGTTTTACCTGATATTTTCTTTTTTTGTCTCCCACTCACAGCCCCATTCTTCTTTCCCCTCCAGTATTCCACTCTTGGGTATTTGATATATGTGCTTCCAATCTGTCTTCGAATCTGTGTATTTAAGACATGCGTGCATCCTTGAAAAATGCAGTGTTTTGTGCGTGTGTCTGCGTGGTCCCTAGAACCTCTGAAAAAATATCAATACTATATGATTTAGAGAATTATTATTATTTGTATAATTTCTTGTTACTTGGGAGTCCATGGAATTATATAATTTAATAGCTAGGAATCACTTGCAAATCATCAGCTTCATGGCCCTCCTTATTTGACCAGGTGACTAAGGTCCAGAGGCTTCCTTTGAAATGATTTATTTCAAGAAAATTATCAGTGATTACTGAGAGCCTGTATTTGGCAAGGCCTTAAACCACCAGGCATGCTAGAGGATATGGAGATAAAGGGCTCTTGCCCCTAGGCACACAGCCTTGAAGGAGATTTTTAGTGGGGCTCAGTGGCTGTGTGACTTCTTATATCTTCTTCAGGATTGAACATGGGGCTCACAAAAGACTCACAGATGATCTAGTTTTGGAATACATCCCACTGCTCCTTCCCCAATCCTCTCCTTTTCTTCTTTACCAGTTTCCAAGTTTCCACATCTGGCTTCTGAACCTGCTGTCCCTGATGACTCCAGCACAGTTGTGCTCCCAGCCTACCTCTGCTCTTTCTTGTCCTTCTCTTGGCTGACATGTCTCTTCTCTCTTTGGCCCACCCTGAGTGTCCTGGTGGAGCACAGAGCCCTCACCTGACTTTCTCTTTGTATTTCCAGATTGGAGCCTCCCTCTTCGCTAGTAACATTGGAAGTGGCCACTTTGTGGGGCTGGCCGGGACAGGAGCAGCTGCAGGCATTGCTACTGGAGGCTTTGAATGGAACGTGAGTAATGCTGCAGTCAGGGCGCACTGGGGCCAGAAGGAGCCTTAGCAGTCATCCATTTCAGTCTATGCTCAGAGGAGCTGAAGGTATTAGCGAACTGTTCAGGGTTACCCCAGGGTGCAGACAGAGGAGAGACATGTCTTCAGGAGCCTCAGGGTCCTGCTCCCCTTCCACCAGAGTAGCATGAGAAAACCACTGGTATGACAGCAATAGTATTTTTTTCTGTTTTCCTGTCATGTTAAAAAGCCAGGGTCCTTCTAGCCATATTCGAGGTTTGAAAATGCTTACCACCAGATTTCCATCATCGTCGTTATTGTTATTATTATTTTATTTTTAGGGACAGGGTCTTGCAGCATTGCCCAGGCTGGAGTGCAGTGGTGCAATCATAGCCTGCAGAAGCCTCAAACTCCTGGGCTCAGGTGATGCTCCCATCTCACTTTCCCAAGTAGCTGGGACTACAGGCATGTGCCACCATACCTAGCTAATTTTTAAATTTTTTGTAGAAGCAGGACCTCACTATATTGTCCAGGCTGCTCTTGAACTCCTGGCCTCTACTAAGAATAGTGGTAGTAATAATAAATGTAATTATTTATTATTACTATTATTATTATTATTAAAGCTCTCTAAATGGTATTTTATTCTGTGTAAACCAGGGAAGAGTGAAGGAGAACCCAGTACTCTAGCTAGGGCCTAGGGCTATGATGCTGATGAACAGCCTCCTGGGCTCCCCTCTGCTGTTTCCCAGCTGCTATTTCCATGGGTCAGTCAGGCAGCAAAGGCTTCCTCCCATCTAGAGATGGCTCCTTAGGGGGGAACTTGCTGGGTAATTTTTCTGCAGCAGCTGAGGGGCCCTTCAAGTGGCAGGGATGGGCTAAGATTCCTCCTAGTTTTCGTCTACCTTTTATTTTTATTTCAGGCCCTGGTTTTGGTGGTTGTGCTAGGCTGGCTGTTTGTCCCCATCTATATTAAGGCTGGGGTAAGTATCTGCTCTGTTACTTCATTTCCTACTGGGAAATGTATCTGTGAGCTTGGTCTTCCTAGAGGGCAGAGGAGACATTATGGAATAAATGGCAGAAAAATCTGTGGATTGGCTTTCACTCCCAGGCTATAAAATTCCTCACTGTCTGCAGTGGCATTAAACAGATCAGCGGGGCCTGGGTCTGATGGTTCTTTCCAGTCCAGGCTTATGACTGTATCCTCTAGGGCAGGGGTTCTCAACCACTAGGCTGTGGATTGGTAGCGGTCTGGTCCGTGGCCTGTTAGGAACAGGGCCTCACAGCAGGAGGTGAGCAACGGAGCAAGAGAGCATTACTGCCTGAGCTCTGCCTCCTGTCCGGTAAACGACGGCTTTAGATTCTCATAGGAGTGAGAACCCTATGTAAACTGCACATGCAGGGATTTAGGTTACATGCTCTTTAGGATAATATAATGATAAATATAATGTGCTTGAATCATCCCCAAACCATCCCCTTATCCCAATTTTTCATAGAAAAATTGTCTTCCACAAAATTGGTCAGTCCCTGGTGCCAAAAAGATTAGGGACCACTGCTTTAAATCATCTCTAGATTACTTATAATACCTAATACAACTGTAGTTACATATAACTCCAGTATATATGGAATGTATATATATATACCATTATATTTTTATATATTATGTGTGTATATATATATTACTTCGGGCAATATAGTGAGACCCTGCCTCTTAAAAAAAAAAGATTTTTCAGTGTTTTTACCACAAAGAGTATATATATATATATACTCCTCCTCCAGAGCAAGGGTCTGGCTCCTTAGCAATTACTGGGCTGGGATAACACCTAGCTACTCCTACAGTGGTAGGGCATATGGGATTAAAATGAGCAAATGGCTGGAGGTCAGGGACCATCTGGCCACTTCACAGACCTCTCTGGCCAACAAAGGTTATGAATCCTTGACACACTTCTGTGGCTCTGACACTAGGATGGACTCCACTGTTCTGTCTGCTCTGGGCCCTCTGGTCACTGTGGCTGGCAGTGACCTCCCTTGCATCCCATGCAGGTGGTGACGATGCCAGAGTACCTGCGGAAGCGGTTTGGAGGCCAGCGGATCCAGGTCTACCTTTCCGTTCTGTCCCTCCTGCTCTACATTTTTACCAAGATCTCGGTGAGTCCACTGCCTTGGGGGCTGGGCACTGGCTATCTCAGAAGCTGCCACTCTCATCTCTTATCACATGCTGCCCACCAAGAGCGGCTCTGTAAGTTTCTATTGGCCCCTTAAGCGTTTTTGTGCCTTGGGGTAAAGTCCTATTTTATACATCAAGGAGCCAATAGAGTTCAATGGAAATTTGTTCACTGTGGTGCAGGTTGAAAACAAACAGGTTTAAAAAACAAACAGGTAAAGCAGTTCTTAATAGAAGGTTAAAAAGGAGTTAGGGATACAACTCTCTATGATCCATCAGTCTCACTAATGGGTGTGTGTCCAAAGGAATTGACATTAACATGTCGAAGGGGTATCTGCACTCCCATGTCCATTGCAGTACTATTCCCAATAGCCAAGATGTGGATCAACATAAGTGTCCATTAATGGATGAATGAATAAAGAATATGTGGTATATATACACAATGGAACACCATACACAAGGAAATGATGTCATTTGTTGTGAACATGCTGTCCATGTTCACAACATGGATAAACCTGGAGGACATTATTTAAGCGAAATAAGCCAGGCTCAGAAAGACATACGCAGTGTGATTTTCCTTGTATGTGGAATCTAAAGAAGTTGAACTCAGAAGCAGAGAGAATAGTGGTTATCATGGTCTAGGGGTGGGGTGTAGAGAGTTGGAGATGGGGAGATGTTGGTCAAAGGATACAAAATTTCAGTTAGATAGGAGGAATAAGTTCAAGAGATCTATTGTACAACATGATAACTACAGCTAATAACAACGTGTTTTGAAAATTGCTGAGAAAGATTTTAGCTAGCGTGGTAGTGTGTGCCTGTAGTCCTGGCTACTCGAGGCTGAGATGGGAGCCCCAGGAGTTTGAGGCTACCCTGGGCAATGTAGTGAGACCCTGCCTCTTAAAAAAAATAAGATTTTAAAGTATTTTCACTACAAAAAAGGTAAGTATTTGTTTGAGGTAATGTATATGTTAATTAGCTCAACTGAACCTTTCCATAATGTATACATATTTTAAAATACCATGTAGTACATGATAAATATATACAATTTTTACTTGTCAATTTAAAAAAGGGAGTGGTTAGAGATATCTAAGGGTTGGCCCCAACCTTAAAGGCAGACATGGGCCTTTGTGCCCTGCCGGGGTAAAATCTGACTCTGTGTGACGTTTCTGATGCATTTAAACACAAGCAGCCAGTGCCAACTCTGGAAGGCACTGCTGAGATTCTGCCTTCTTTTATGGACAGAGAAATAAAAACCCTGGAGTTGGAATGAACTCTTCCTGAATCAGAAGTAGAACCCAGGTCTCTGATTCTCAGTTCACTGTCCTTTTCCCTGCATGAGGCTCCTGCTTTCTTCTTGGAATCAGCTCTCTGGGCCTTTAATTGCTAACCCCCTGGTGGATTTTTACTCTCTCTGAACCTAACCACTGGGGCTGCCTCTATACCATTTAGCCTGCTGTCCTTGCCAACCTGGAGCTGTAAGCCCTCTTTGCAGAGCTGAGATTTTTCAAGGATTGGCGGGCCACTGGGGTACCTTTGAAAGTGGGCAAACATTCTCCTTCTCCTCCTCCTCCCTGTCCCCCTCATTCTCCTTCTCCTCCTCCTCCCTGTCCCCCTCATTCTCCTTCTCCTCCTCCCCGTCCCCCTCATTCTCCTTCTCCTTCCCCTCTCCTTTTTCCTCCTCCCCTTCCCCTTCCTCCCTTCTCTTCCTCCCTCCCCATCCTTCTTTCTTCCTTCTTGTTCTTCCTTCTTCTTCCTTCTTCTTCCTTTTTTTGAGATAGGGTCCTGCTGTATTACCCAGACTACCAGACTGGAGAGCATGGCATGATCATAGCTTAGTGCCACCTATACCTCCTAACTTCAAGCGATCCTTCCACCTCAGCCTCTTGAGTAGCTGGGGCTACAGGTGTGTGCCACCATGCCCAGCTAATTAAAAAGTCTTTTGTAGAGACAGGGCCTCACTATGTTGCCCAGGCTGGTCTCGAACTCCTGAACTCAAGCAATGCTTCTGCCTCAGCCACCTAAAGTGTTGGGATTATAGGCATGAGCCACTGCGCCCAGCCTGTGTTCCTTCTTTACTTCACTTTTCTTCCTTGAAAGTGTTCAAGTCAATTTCTCTTTATTGTAAAAAAAAAAAAAACAAAAAAAACAAAACAAAGCAATAACAAAAAAACACAAAACAACTAGGAAACCACTAACATTCTGAGATATCTCCCTGATGGCCCAAAAGATGGTGGGATGAGAAAAGTTTGCTTGTAGGTTTTACTATGCATTTTTTTGTTCCCAAGGTGACTGTCAGTCTGATAAACGTCAAAGCAATGGTATAAAAAGAAAAAGAAAAAAAGGGTGAATGATAAGGAATAAAAGAAAGAAAATAGGACTTTGGTAAGAAAACTACCTTGGAGAATAATTGGAGTAGCTGGGCTCCTAGTCTGTTCCCCTGCCCACTAGCAGGTGACCTGGGGCAAATGGCATAGCTCTTTAGAGCTTAGCTACTTTATGAGTAAGATGGGGATAATAATTCCTGCCTTGCCTAGATCATGGGGTGTTGGTGAGCTTTATTTGAAAACACAAAGTGTTCTTGAAATGTAAGAAATAATGGTAATGAAGCCGAGTGCAGTGGCTCATACCTGTAATCCCAGCACTTTGGGAGGCTGAGGCATGAGAATTGCGTGAGGCCAGGAGTTTAAGATCAGCCTGGGCAACGTGGTGAGACCCTGCATCTAAAAAAAAAAAAAAAAAAAAATTAGCCAGGCTTGGTGGTGCGCACCTGTTGTTGCAGTTAGGAGGCTGAGGTGGGAGGATCGCTTGATCCCAGGAAATGAAGGTTGTGAGCTATGATTGCACCATTGCACTCCAGCCTGGGTGACATAGTGAGATCCTGTCTCTAACTAAGTAAATAAAGATATAATGAAAATGAACATGGTTAATTGAGAGCACTTTCTGCAAGAAGCTCTCTGGGTTGCAGCAGGGCAGAGAGAGAGGCGGTGTTTTCTGAGATCATATAGGGAGTGACTCCAGCTTTTCCCGTTAGCCAGCAGTTGCAAAGAGCTCATTGCTCTTTCAAAAGGGCTGTCTCATTGCATATGGTCAGTTTTTCTTCCTCTTGTTGTTCTGCCCTAACCAGCACCAAAGGCAAGATTGGCCCAATCTCAGTGTCTTGCAAAAGATCTGCCCTGGCTGAGGTCTGAGTTGGGTTGGATCTGAATTGAGCCATCTATTCTAGCTAGGTAAGGTTCTGAAAATACAGTTGCTAGTGTTTCTGTTTTCCTGATTACTTAAAGTTGAAACAACAGCAACATTAAATAACATTTGTATTTTTTTTTTATTATGGAACATTTCAAACATACATAAACAAAGATAGAACAGGATAACAAGCACTCATGGACCTAACACTAATCACTTAGTTTTAACAGTTAACAACATTTTGCCATTTTTGGTTCATCTATCCTCTTTCAATTTTTTTCCCAGCAGTATTTTATTTTATTTTTTTCTTTCCAACTTTTAGGATCAGGAGTACATGCACAGGTTTGTTATATGGTTAAGTTGCATGTCAAAGGAGTTTGATCTACAGATTATTTTGTCACCGAGGTAATAAGCATAATACCTAATAGGTAGTTTTTTTGTTCCTCACCCTTCTCCCATCCTCCACCCTCAAGTAGGCCCCAGTGTCTATTGTTTCCTTCTTTGTGTCCATGTGTACTCAGTGTTTAGGTCTCACTTATAAGTGAGAACATGCAGTATTTGGTTTTCTATTCCTGCATTAATTCAGTTAGGATAATGACCTCCAACTTCATCCATGTTGCTGCAAAGGATGTGATCTCATTCTTTTTTATGGCTGCATAGTATTTCATGGTGCATATGTGCCACATTTTCTTTATTCAGTGTCCTGATGATGGGCATTTAGGTTGATTTCATGTCTTTACTACTGTGAATAGTGCTCAGCAGCATTTTAAATCAAATTTCAGATACCATGTGATTTCACTGTAAATTCTTTAGAATGTTTTAAAAAACATAACCATTGTGCTATTATCATATGTTACAAAATCTATGGTAACTTTTTAATTTAGGTTGTTTAACACCTGGCCCATATCAAGGTTTTCCTAATAATCTCGAAAATGTTTTCTTACAGTTAGTTTGAATCAGGATCTGAACAAAGTCTAGATCACATTGCATTTGGTTCTTTCTTTAAAGGAAATATACATATATAGGTCTTCAGCCTACTACTGTTATTTTTTCCTTTTTTTGTTATTACCTTTCTGTCCTGGCCTACATGAACAAATATATATATTTTTAATTGGGTTATATGTCTATTTGTTGTTCAGTTGTAAAATTTCTTTATATATTCTGTATGCTAGACCCTTATAAGATATCTGACTTGCAAATTTTTTTTTCCCATCCTGTAGGTTGTTTTTTTACTTTCTTGATAATGTCCTCTGATGCACAAAGGTTTTAAATCTTGGTGAAGTTCAGTTATCTATTTTATTTCTTGTTGCTTATGCTTTTGGTGTGATTTCTAATGATCCATTGCCAAATCCAAGGTCATGAAAATATACCCCCTTGTCTTCTCTGTTTTATGGTTTTAGTGCTTATATTTAGGGCTTTGATCCATTGGGAGTTAATTTTTGTATATAGTATGAAGTATGGGTCTAACTTCATTCTTTCACATGTGGCTATCCAGTTCTTCCAGCAGTATTTTTTGCAGAAATAATTGTTTTCCCATGAATGGTCTTGCACATAAGTTTTACTCAACTTGGTGAAAACATGCTCTCACTGATAATGCTGTTAAGGTTTTGTCTTGGAGTTGGGCCAACACCTAGGAATATTGCTGCCTCCTTGTGCAGCTTCCTGACTCACACTGCTTCTGCCCTTGACCTATTCCTTTGTGGTTTCTTCTGTCCACTAATGTCATGATTCAGCTTCCTTTACTTCCTCCTCCTCTCCTTCAGGGTTGGTTTTTAATTGTAAGATGAAAAGCCTGGGCTTT